TGATTTTTAACAATCTCAGCCATTCAGCTACAGGAGATCAGAGTTACCTTCAGGACACACTTAGAAAATTAGAGGTTGTTTATGATGTGCTTGAGCTGAGAATTTGAATTCTGAATTTGTCTATTTTTTCCACTTCGTTGTCCAGTGACCTTCGGAGCAACCAACCAATTTCATTATGTTAGTTTTCCAAAAGTGTTTGAAAGTATCATATACATATTCATCCAGATTCAAATGTCAATCTCATCCCGAAACACCTTCGCAGGCACACTCAGAGGAAAGTTTAACCAAGTATCTGGGCACGGCATGGCTTAGTTAAGTTGACACATAAAATTAACCATCACACCATTCCTCTGTCTTTGCACACTTGAGTTGTTTCTTGGCTATTGTGAATAATGCTGCTATGAACATGAGTGTACAAATAATCTGTTTAAGCCTCTGTTTTCATTTCTTTGGGTATCAAGTGGTATTTTTATCCAAGTATTGCATATGCTTAGTTGAAGTTTAGAATTCTAGTTGCTGAGTCACTTTAATTACCAGAGGCATGTTTTAGAAAAAACACTTGTGTTACATCTGATGCATATTTAAATTATATGGATTCAGTCGTACTGTATTTTATAGGTGAATGAAGGTATTTTTAATGGAAATGTTTTATTATACTTGATTTTTGCCTAATCCACTGCCTTTGAAACTCAGTCTCTATGTAAAATGCAACTTATAGTATTGCTTTCTTTTTAAAAAGCAGAAAAAGTAATTTCTGACATTTTCTTTTTGCATGTCTTCTCAGTACTAATGAAATAAAATATCTATATCTGGTTCCTTTGTTAATAGAAGAGAAGTTTAAGGAATGCCTATTTATTTAGTTTTCATTTTGTCCTTCATAGGAACATTTCAAGCAAGGCAAAAGCATATTTCTATATTCCTAACTTTATTCTTTATAAGGTAAGGAAGAGCGGGGTTAGAATATTGTAGGGTTGATATGGCACATAGAGTAAGTATGGTGATTTTGAAAGAGCATTGAGTCAGGTATTGGAAACTACATCTATTCCATTAATCCCACTGTACTATTAAGGTATAATTTTGGACAAGCCATTTTTCCTCTCTGAGCTCATTTTCTCATCTGAAAGACGGTGAAGGTGATAATACATGCTACTGTTCTATAGGGTTGTGACGATCAAGTGAGATAAAGTATGTGAAAACCTTAAATTGGTATGTAGATGTTAGGTGGCATTTTATGATCTGAACTGATAGACAAAGCGGCTGTTATACATAATATATCTGCTTAAAAATTAGATGGTTGCTCTGTATCTGATTAAAAGGTTTCTAAGTTTGAACTGTAAATGACTATAGTGAAGGAACCTCAGCTCATTGGAAAGAGAATTTTCGAGCCACTCCAAGCCATTTTTGCTATTAAAAAATCTTCTGTTTTGCTCTGTTTTGCACAGAAGTACATGGTGTTCAGATATTCACTAATGAATTAGAAATTTGTCGGCCTGTATCCCTTTGTTAGCCCAGTATGCATATTATGTGACATTTCCATTTTACCGGAGAATTTGCAAACATTTTTTATTTTTGAATTTTGAAGATGCCGTATTTTTATGTGAGTCGAGTTTTATTTGGTGTGGCAGTTTGAAGAGTACTAAAAAATTATTTTTTTGATGGCTTATCTTTATGTCCTACAGAAAGAGACTAGAGACTGGAGGTAGAAAAACTACTTTTTTCTTTGGCGTATTTTGATGTTCCATACAGATGGATTTGTTGTATTTCTGTAAGACAGAAATAAAGTGTTTCTTCTGAGATAATTCTTTTGTAGGAAAAGGGACTGGTTTACTTTATTATGTATCCTAGGAGCTGGTTTCTCTTCGGGAACTTGAGTTAGAATGCAAAATCTCGAAACCTGAACTTTTTTTTTTTTTTTTAAGATTTTATTTATTTATTTGACAGAGAGAGAAATATCACAAGTAGGCCAGAGAGGCAGGCAGAGAGAGAGGGGGAAGCAGGCTCTCTGCTGAGCAGAGAGCCCAATGTGGGGCTTGATCCCAGGATGCTGAGATCATGACCTGAGCCAAAGGCAGAGGCTTAACCCACTGAGCCACCCAGGTGCCCCAAAACCTAAACTTTTTAAAAAATATCTTTTCTTTGGAACAATAAATTTGAAGTTTATCTTTTTGTTTTTTTGAGTTCTGATATAACTCTGATGACATATAGTGAGAATTTTTGCCTCATGCTATAATAAGAGCCTAAAAGGTCATTAAATACTTGTTGACAGACTGATTCTAGCCTGTGGCAGGGAAAAGATAAGCCTAGAACACGCATTTTGTGGTAACACAAAATAGGGAAATATTTAAAAAACAAAAAATAAGAGCATGTCAAACAGTTATAGGAGCCAGCTGGAAGAGCTTAGAGCCATGGCCATTGCTGGAACAATTTGAGCAACAAAATAAATGATGTAATATTTATTATAACCCAAATTATATAATAAATATCCCTGATTCTGTACTGATACAAGATTGAATAAATGTGTAAATGGAGGAAGAGAGACAAAAATTCATACAGAAGAATTACAAATAATGTATGTAGGTATTCTTTGTTCCACAAGGCAGAGCACAGTTCTACTTTTCTTCCTTGAATGTGGGCTAGCCTTACTCACTTCCAAGGAATAGATTATAGAAAGGGAAAAAATAGGGATCATAGTTGAGAAGTCTGGCAGACACTGCCTTAGCCAGCTGATGGAGATTAACATCCCCAGGGATATACCATGGATATCATATTCCCTTTGATATGATGTGATAAGCGGGGCAGTTTACCTCTGTGGTATTCTTCTAAAAACCTGTAACCCTGGTCTAATCACAAAATGAAAAAAAAAAAAAAATCAGATACACCTAATTTGAAGGTCATTCTGCAAAATACCTAACCAATATTCCCCAAAACAGTCATGATCATAGAAAAGAGACAAAGAGTGGAATCTGTCACAGGCCAGAGGAGACTGATAGACATGACAACTGTATGTGGGGTGATGTTCTGGATGAGATCCTGGAATGGAAAATGGACCTTAATGGGAAAACAGATGAATAATTTCTGGACTTAGTTAATAGGGACGTACAGATGTTGATTTCTTCACTTTCACAAATGTACCCTGGTAATGTGGGATGTTTTATTTTTATTTTGTTTAATTTTTTTAAATTATTTTTTTATTGTGTTATGTTAGTCACCATATAGTATATCATTAGTATTTGATAGAGTGTTCCATAATTCATTGTTTGCTCATAACACCCAGTGCTCCATGGAATCTGTGCCCTTCTTAATACCCATAAGCAGGTTCATCCATCCCTCCACCTCCCTCCCTTCTGAAATCCTCGGTTTGTTTCCTGGAGTCCACAGTCTATCATGGTTCGTCTCCCACTCTGATTTCTCCCTCTTTGTTTTTCCCTTCTCCTAATGTCCTCCCACACTATTCCTTATGTTCCCCAAGTAAGTGAAACCATATGATGATTGACTTTCTCTCCACTTGACTTATTTCACTCAACATACTCTCCTCCAGTCCCATCCATGTTGATGCAAAAGTTGGGTATTCATCCTTTTTGATGGCTGAGTAATACTCCATTATGTATATGGACCCCCATCTTCTTTATCCATTCATCCATGGAAGGGCATCTTGGCTTTTTCCACATTTTGGCTATTGTGGACATTGCTGCTATGAACATTGGGGTGCATATAGCCCTTCTTTTCACTACATCTGTATCTTTGGGGTAAATACCCAGTAGTGCAATTGCCAGGTCATAGGGTAGCTCTATTTTTAATTTTTTGAGGAACCGCCACACTGTTTTCCAAAGTGGCTGTACCAGTTTGCATTCCCACCAACAATGTATGAGGGTTCCCTTTTCTCCACAACTTCTCCAACATTTGTTGTTTCTTGCCCTGTTAATTCTGGCCATTCTGACTGGTGAAGGTGATATCTCAATGTGGTTTTGATTTGAATTTCCCTAATGGCTAATGATGATGAACACTTTTTCATGTGTCTATTAGCCATTTGTATGTCTTCTTTGGAGAAGTGTCTGCTCATGTCTTCCACCCATTTCCTGACTTGATATCTGTTTTTTAGGTGTTAACAATAGGGGAAACTGGATAGAGGACATAAATGTACTATCTGTATTTTCTTTCAACATTTCTATAACTCCAGAATTATTTCAAAATACTTTGTTTATTTAAAATATTTAAATTTAATATTTATTTAAAAATTTATTTATTTATTTTTAAAAATTTATTTATTTAAAAATCTTTGTTGAGAGTATTTTTATGGTATGGAAATCAAATGGTGTGAAGAATAAAAACTGCTTTGTATTAACCACATTTTCTCCATAATGTGCTATATTACCCCATTTAAATTTGTAAGTTTCCTTATTCATAAATGGTAGTTTCATCTTTATATAAGATTTAGTGACTATTTAAATGACCTGAAACTTTTGAAACTATAGATGGAGGTTAGTGAGATACAAATTAATAGCTGAATATTTTGAGGAAAAGAAGTTAATAATTTACTACAGTGGTACATAGGATCTAAAATTGTGATTGTTTTGGGAATTGATATTTTGAAAGTGCTTTTGATATTGTCATGATATAGCACTTGGGGAACTTAAAATTTTAAAAATATTATCAATAAGGCAACTCATATAAAGTAATCTAGTAGAACAAAAGGATACTTAAAGGGCGCCTGGGTGGCTCAGTGGGTTAAGTCGCTGCCTTCGGCTCGGGTCGTGATCTCAGGGTCCTGGGATCGAGTCCCACATCGGGCTCTCTGCTCAGCGGGGAGCCTGCTTCCCTCTCTCTCTCTCTCTGCCTGCCTCTCCGTCTATCTCTCTATGTCAAATAAATAAATAAAATCTTTATTACAAAAAAAAAAGATACTTAAAATAATCAAAAATACAATCTCTATTATTAACTTTGTTATTAAAATATAACTTATTAAGAAAATGAATGTTAATTCATTTCATATTCTTTTCTAGATTTATTATCTAGGATTGATTTGGATGAACTAATGAAAAAAGATGAACCACCTCTTGATTTTCCTGATACCCTGGAAGGATTTGAATATGCTTTTAATGAAAGTAAGTGTTTGCTACATACAAGATTTATTTATCATGCTAATAGAATCATAGGACAGATATTATTCACTATTTTTATTTGCCAGTTAGAATGTTTTATGTATTTCATTTAAGAAATAATGACTTACCCCTTCATGGTGAAATTTTTCACTCAAGGAAAAGAACCAAATTGTAATTTTCTGTAATTGTCAAATCACTTAAACCAATGGACATGAATTTGATGTGACTTAACGTATTTCAGCCCAGAGCTTTCAACTCTCAGGCATCCAATTGGAACTCCAATTATATTATGTAGAAAGATACTACTTTTTCACGTATTTAAAAGGAAATGGCTAGCCGTTATCATCTATGATGATATTTTAAAGCCTAATACTCAGTTTTCCATGATTTTTTTCAGGCAACATACTTATTTTAAAATTTATTTTATTTTTTTTAAGATTATTTATTTGAGAGAGAGTGAGAGTAAGAATGAGAGATAGAGAGACAGAGAGGGAGAAGCAGACTCTCTGCTGAGCAGAGAGCCTGGTACGGGGCTCCATCCCAGAACCCCGAGATCATGATCTGAGCCAAAGGCTGATGTTTAACTGAATGAGCCACCCAGGCAACCTGCCTATTTTAAAATTTATTAATTAAATTCTGAACAAGAAAGACTTTCCACTTGGGGTTTGGAAGAACATACCATAAGTTACAAGGATGTTTCTAGAACAAAGAATTATGATTGATTGAATTAATAACATACTATTAAACATTTGAAGAGTACTAGTGTTATAGGCTTGGTAGAGTTTAAGTTGTAGCTTTCTGTTTGTTGATCCACATCAACTAAATTGGTGATTTGTTACCATTATGGTAGTGGATATCCCTTAATAATAACACTTACATGTGTTAAGATTTATAGTGACAGTCTTTGTGTACTAGAAGATTAATTGATTTTAAGCATGATATTGGAAACTTTGATCTCTTATCTGATGTTAATTTTCATGCTTTTAATAAAGGATATCTTAATGCCAAGATATATATGAGTAGTAATTGTTTGTTTTACCAACCTAGCTAGCCAGGTGCTCCAGAAGTAATAAACTTTTATCTTTCCCTTTCTTATCAGATACATACAGACATCTTTTCACTCACTTCTACACCCTTGAATGTACATACCTTACATTCACACTTATGTGATACCTATACCTTTGCATACACATACGCCTTTTCATGTATGTATGCCTCAAATGTGCGTGCATCCTTGCACACGCCTACCATTTATTTTATAAGTATCTTGGACATTGTCTTGCATAAACACAGACTAACAGTATTAAGGAGAAATGCTTGAATTCTAAGGAGAGAATGTCACTTTTAAGGATCCGTTTTTAGCTTGATACGGTTCACCTTTGAATTTGGGTTAATGGTGAATATTTTTTCAAAGAGGTGAGGATTTGGAGATAGGAAACTAGGTCTCAATACTAAACCCCTAAAAAGGCAATTCTAACTTAGTGTCTTTCGGGACTTCTTTTTTAACTTTATGATAACAAGAACTCTTACAAAAGGTTTGAAATTAAACTTTCATTACCTGATTGAAGAAATTTCTAATTTTTCCTAAATGATTTTAAAGTAGTTAGTTGGATAAAAGAAGAATTTGGATACAAATTTTATTCTAAGCCGGACAATTTGTAACAAAGGGGAAGAGATTGTTTTTATCTCCATCGGATTTATACCTTATTCTTTAAAATCACTGTGCCTTTTTTTTTAAGATTTTATTTAATTATTTGACAAAGAGAGATCACAAATAGGCAGAGAGGCAGGTAGAGAGAGAGAGAGAGAGAGAGAGAGAGGAGGAAGCAGACTCCCTGCTGAGCAGAGAGCCTGATGCAGGATTTGATCCAAGGACCCTGAGATGATGACCTGAGCCCAAGGCAGAGGCTTAACCCACTGAGCCACCCAGGCACCCCTTCTGTGCCTTTTCAAATACATCTTGTGTTTCCCATTGCTGTAATCGTATAAGGCCCAGCTCAAATGTCCTTGCTGATGAAGAAGTTGAAGGCTTTTCCCCTTTTACCCTCACCTATACTCCCTCTGCTCTGGTGCAGTATTATGAGAGAGCACACTTTTAGATCACTAGAAAAAGTAATTGAACTTGTGGCAGACCATTTGAGTTTGAATATCGTCTTCTATAGTACCTGACATTTATTGAACTCTTAATACATGCCAGGAAGTATTCTAAATACTTTGAACTTATTAATTCATTTAGGCAAGTGATAGCCTCTTTGAGGTCCTGGACTCCATAACAAATCTGATAAACTATATGGATACATTTCCCAGAATAGCACACATTTTAGGTATACATGTGAAACTTTATAGCTGATTTTAGGGGACCCTAAGCTAAAATGGCCTAAATTAGACCTTTGACAGTCACTGGAGTGATTGTCCAAACCTTTGAGAAATGCCATATTTACAAATAATAATATAACCTAAGTGATCCAGATATTTTTTCTGGATAAGAGTGCTCACTTTCTTTGCCTCTTAACCTTTTCACTTTTAACAGTAGTGGTAATAGGTGGCTATTTTAATAGGTCCCATTTTCCTAAAGAACCCAAAAAAGAGTGTTCTATGTAGTGATCCAACACAGTGTCTCATGTTGAGAGTATTAAAAACTTTACAAATAAGGATTAGCCCTTGTTTTGCATATTTAAAAAGACAGTTTTATATGTGGTGAAATTGATTCATAAAAATAGTGAAGTAGTTTTACTTGAAGTAGTATTTTTCCAGGGTTCAGTTTTAGTGCCATACATTCCTTTCAACTTTCTGTCCACTCCTGCCCTCATTGAATAAAAATCAAATACTAAGTTCCACTCTGCATGTCATGTCCCTCTTTGGTCTCTAAACCCTTTCTTGTGCCTCACTGCTCTTAGCGTAAAGTCCAGATCCAGTAGTTGGAATCTTCCGCTTTTTGATCCCAACATGTTCACCAGTGTTCTGCAGTTTGGCTCAGTACTTCGTTTTGTTTCTGTTAAAATGGATTGTTCACTATTACTTGAACGTTCTGTCCATTTTTCACATTTTTGTCTAAATTGCTAGGTAGAGGCAGGGGAGAATAGGTTAAAGTAATTGGCCTGTGGTCTCTCTCCTGATCACCAGCAGCACACTTCTGGGACAGAAAGAACACAGGTGGCCTGGTATTTTCTCCTTAAAAACATACTGATAATGTAATCTTTTAGTGAATATAGACCAATGTTTGCTATGAGCAGAGTGTTTATCTATAGAATACTTTGAGCGGGTGACTGGTTTCGGTTTGCTTATGGTAAACAAGCATAATCTGTGGATATTTGAAGTATATTCTCTGAAGGATATCACAGAAGCAGTACCACTCTCTGACACATAAAACTGAAGTATTTTGTAACCAAATGCTCACCAATATATGAGGTAACCTTTTCGCCTCACATTGAGACTTCACCTGTTCTGGACCAAAGAGTGCTGCCAGTGAGAGCGAAGGACCTGGGAGGAAATGCCTGGGCTGTCCCAGACCTCTTCTTCTTTTCTTTTCCTGTGCCTCTTGATTGCTTATTGCCTTGTTATTATTAGCAAAGTTATTATCAGTAAAATCTCTGAATTGAATGTGTCTGACTTGACAGTCCAAATTGATCTTGGCTCACTGCTTTTCTCCCTGCTTTTCTCCAGTGTTCATTTGAAATCTTAACCGTACTTTAGGCCTAGTTGAGAAATCTCCCTGGAACCTCTGAAACTATTCTAACCTGTAAGGGTCTTCCTCTTCCATTTTTCCAAACTCATTTTGGTCTTTATTATCTACATGAGTTGCCTGTGGCAGTTTTTAGATTGTTGACTTAACTTCATTCTTGTTTACCTTCCTAAAAAGTTGCTTAACTTTTGGATATTTATGCTTTTTTTTTTTTAAGATTTTATTTATTTATTTGACAGAGAGAGATCATAAGTAGATAGAGAGGCAGGCAGAGACAGAGAGAGAGAGAGAGGGAAGCAGGCTCCCTGTCAAGCAGAGAGCCCGATGTGGGGCTCGATCCCAGGACCCCGAGATCATGACCCGAGCTGAAGGCAGCGGCTTAACCCACTGAGCCACCCAGGCGCCCCATGGATATTTATGCTTTTACTCCTCCTCTAACCTCTAAGCTTAGACCCTGAGACCTTGTTCACAGCTGTAGCTAGCCATGATCCTTATATATTATAGGCCCTCAAGTGTTAATTTGCTTTAGAGAAATGAAAGTCAAAAGGCACAGCATTTGAGTAGTTGAGGGCATTCTTTTATAGTACTTAGATGTTTGCATCATGTTGATATTTGAAGGAAAAATGCAAAGAAAAAAATGAAACTTCTGAGAAAGTTATTTTAAATTTTTATCAGATGTTATTTATTTTTCATATTATTATAAATATACTCTGAATCATAGCAATACTGTTTGTTTATCTTCTAGAGGGACAGTTAAGACACATAAAAACTGGGGAACCGTTTGTTTTTAACTACCAAGAAGATTTGCACAGATGGAACCAGAAAAGATATGAAGCTCTAGGAGAGGTATGGTCATATATTAAACTTCACACTCTTTTTTTTTTTTTTTCTTCCAGTTTTGAAGAATCAGAATAAAGGTTTTGAAGCTAAGGCAGCCCATGAAGTCTTTTGTTTAAAAAAAAAAAAGTGATTTTAAAAATTGTTGTTTTTTTTGTTTATTTCAATGGTTATGTTTGAAACATATTCTCAAAGTTTATGTTTTTATGTAAACCTGTCCTTCCCATTACCTTAATATTTTGTAGTGAGTCATTACATCAGAAGACAAATTCATGACAAATTTTATCTTTTAAATGTTTTAAAGAGGTTGAATCCTCTGCTATGCCAGGAGGAATAAGTGTTCTTTTAAGTGGTTATCTTAAAAAAAAAAAAAGAGTTACTTATGTTAATTATATGAAGTGATGAGTATGTTAATTGTATTAATCTTGTTTATCATTATGCAATGTGTATATATATCAAATCATCACAGTTACTCCTCAATAAAGGTAAAAAAAATTCTTACCTATGTGAAGAAAATTGGTATTTGCTTGGCTAATAAAGTGTGTCTAACCTGTTTACCTTTGACTTGATGAAGGATTAGGTCTTGTGAGCATTTAGTTTCCTCACATGGTACCATTGTGAGGAACCCTTGAAAATGGCATTTGTCATTAAGGTGAATGTTCTGTTAAAGCCAAAAGTTTTACTCATCCTATGTCATGTTAAATAATTTTAATAAAATGCACATGGAGGGGCGCCTGGGTGGCTCAGTGGGTTAAAGCCTCTGCCTTTGGCTCAGGTCGTGATCCCAGGGTCTTGGATCGAGCCCCGCCTCAGGCTCTCTGCTTGGCAGGGAGCCTGCTTCCCTTCCTCTCTCTCTGCCTGCCTCTCTGCCTGCTTGTGATCTCTGTCTGTCAAATTAATAAACAAAATCCTAAAAAAAAAATAATAATAAAATGCACATGGACACATTTGTTTAGTGTGATAATACATACTACTTTAGTTCTTTAAGGAAAAGCTAAAGTTCCTATATTACTGTTTTGATTCTTTAAAAACTAGTCAGAATGAATTACTTGGTTAAACAGCAGCATGAAGAATATATGAAACTTATTTATCTTTTCTGGAAGACAGTTCTCCATGAATTACATTTCCACATGTGTCTGAGCAAAGGCGTTGACAGCTTTTGCTGTGGACTATCTTTTCAAGGGTGTTTGTGTAGGAAACAGCTTGGAAGACAGAGCTTGTGTCTTCCTCCAAGGGAGAGAACAGATTTGTTTGCTCTTCAGGAAAATGCTCTTCCCGTCCACCACTAGTGGCAAAGAATGGGCAGGTTTGCTAATAACCCCCTTACAAGATTGAGCTTCATAAATTTTGAGGTTCCTTAGCTATGATGCAGTCCCACTGTGTGCTTAGCCTCTATCTTTAGCCTGTCCATATTGCCTCTTTAGGACTTGAAGGACAAAAGAAAGAGATGAAAATAAGCTTATGCTGCTTGCCGAATACCTTGAGTAATAAAGTCTTTTGTCTCTGACATAGAAATCTAGTGTCTTTTGGCAATATCCATGAAATTGTAGCAGGCTAACTTGTTAGCTGGCAAAGAGAATAAAATCTTAGGCCCTTCAGAGTTCTTGACATTTTTCGCTAGCATTTGTAACTTAAGTTTAATTAATGCCCTGAATAATTTCTTCTGCACATGAGATATTTCCCCATTCCCCATTAGTGAATTACTTATATGCCGCAGGCTAGTAGTATGTTGATTCTAGGAATATCCGTAGTATATGACCTTACAGAAGAACTGGGGATGTTTGTTTTGTTTTGTTTTTAAAGGGGGCTTACAGTTTACTCCTTTCCATGAGCCATGCATATTTGTTCACTTGGACAGGTGCTGTTCTCTAAACAAACTTTGTCCTTTTTGTCATCTGCATCTTTTTCACCCTTAACCTGTATCCCCTAGCATTATCTCTGTCAGAATTTAGCAACTGTATCTTATTAGATTGTCCATGTACAAGTAATTCCTGTCTCCTAGATCTCCTATCTTATATTCTTTGGACATATGGATTGTCACAGGATTGATTTTTGGTGGATCTTACTCTATGATAAAGTATTATGAAGTTTCACTTTAATGATTATATATAGATAGAGATAAAATATTCTGCATTATCTAGATTTCCCACCTCCTGTGCCTGCATTCGCATTTGTGTTCGTGATCAAGCTGGCCCCAAATGATCACCCCAAATCACAGGATTTATTCTGTAATGCAGTGTGTCTCAAAATAGATCAGTAGACCCCTGAGCTTCAAGTACCAATCCCATTTACTTCCCAATATATTTATCAAAAGTATATAACCTTCTAACATAAAACTGTCACAACAAAAGATCCAAAGATTAGAGAAGGGAAGTCTGGTTGTTAGTATTTGGTTCCCTACCATCTTGCTTCTCATGTCTTGTTTGAAATACTTGTGTTTTTATTTTTTATTTCTCTGAATTCGGGTACACCATGAAATACTTATTTTTATTACCAATCTCACTGCTGAAGGTTGACTATTAATTTAATTTCATTTCCTACATTTTAGGTTTGAGATGTATGAATTCTAGTTACATATGCATAATGACACAATTTTCACTATTGTAAATTTGTTTGGTGTTATTTATGGTAGGATTTAATAATGCATAGGTGGACCTATCTTTTTGTCCATCTTCCTTTCTTTTTCTGAGCTGTGTCTTCCAATTAGTTTAACCACCTTACTGTCCTTCATTCATACCTTATACTTTTATCTCGTACCGTTTTCTGTCTTTGAAATGCCCTTGCTCCCTTGTTCATGATACCCCTACCTCTACCTGCCTTCAGGTTTTGGCTTTCATATCTTCTAGGAAGCCTTCTCTCATCTCCTCTACCACTCTTTTTTTTTCTTTTTCTCAATTTCTTTTCTTCTCATTCTCTTTTTCCGCCTATCTTGCCTTCTTTTGAGAATGATTTAAGGTGGGCGCCTGGGTGGCTCAATCGGTTAAGCGGCTGCCTTTGGCTCAGGTCCTGATCCTGGGGTCCTGGGATCACATCCCACATCGGGCTCCGTGCTCAGTGGAGAGCCTGCTTCTCCCTCTCCCTCTGCCTGCCACTCTGCCTACTTTGCTCTCTATCTCTCTATCAAATAAATAAATAAAATCTTAAAAAAAAAAAAAAGAACAATTTAAGGTGACCTTAAATATGAATATTCCACTTAGCAAGATTAAAAATTAAGTAAAAATAATAAAATAGAATTTAAACAATGTTAGTAAACTAACAGCATGAGTTTGTTTTCTTTCTCTTTAAGATACTTTACACTGTATTACAATTTTTTTTATTTTTTATTTTTTTAAGATTTTATTTTATTTATTTGACAGACAGAGATCACAAGTAGGCAGAGAGGCAGGCAGAGAGGGGGAAGCAGGCTCTCTACTGAGCAGAGAGCCCGATGCGGGGCTCGATCCCAGGACCCTGAGATTATGACCTGAGCTGAAGGCAGAGGCTTAACCTACTGAACCACCCAGGCACCCCTACAATATTTTTTAATGCATATCTTTTGGCAATTTGGGGAAATTTTCTGTATTCTTATGGTACTTGTTGAGTAGTAAATGAGTGTTATACAAATATATAAACTATAAATTCTAGACCTATGTATTTTAGGAAATTTCTTAATTTTAGGAATTTGAACATGAAGATAATGTTTACTTATTGAAAGGAAAATGATATGCTAATGATGATTTTCCCATTTGTAGAACTAAACAATTTTCAATTACTTTACTCTAATTCCCATTTAATTTCTAAGAGTTTCAGACAATTATGGCTTTGCTGATAAAAATTATTTGATTAAAAGTCATCTGTATTTATGGCATGTTTTGTTGGAAAATTTTTATTCTTCATGGTCAAACTCTAGACTGAATCTGCTGTAATTCAGAAAATAGAAGTTCTTCTATAACTGCCTAAATTTCCTAGAAAACAAATAAAGTTTTGCATTTATATTTTGGAAGTAATTTAGTACTTCGTGTTACCAGTGATGTCACTGGTTGCAGTAAGTGAGAGCCTGTAGAAAGCATTTCACCACGTCCTGGACACAGAAGCACTGAAAAACCTCCTTTCTCCTCATTGATGGGTAGGGTGGAATTCAGAAGATATTACAAATTTGAGTTTATTGCCTAGGAACCTGCCTTAATAAATAGCTTCTGATGATTGAAGTTTTAAGGAAATAGATTCTGGCTTTAGCCAACAATCTAAACCAAAACCCCTTCTGGGTTTTTTTTTTTTTTCCTTCTTTTAGTATGTTCCTACTAAATATCGACTTTTGTCTTCACTAGAAAACTACTATGTATGTTTCAGAACTGCCGTTTTAGTTTATGTTTATTTCTCTCTTAAGGAGATTATTATAGCAGTCACTTGCAGAAATTGTTTTTAAGACTTGCTCTTGAAATGCTCTGTCATTTCTATGTAAATTAAACTTATTGTGTAAGTAAAATAAACTGAGATGTCAGTTTGTTCTTAGAATGCAGTTCCATAACTACACAAAAAAATACTCTTTGCATTCACGTAGTTACATTTTTATAGTCAAACAAAAGCTTTTGCTAATATGTATTTTTTTTTCTTTACTCTCTACATATAGCTTGATAAAAATATATAGCCTATAAGAGGTTTGGATAGTTTATCTAAATTTAGAAAGATACTGTCAAGGGTTTAAGGAGGTGGGAGAGTGGTGTGAAAGGGTAATTTTCAAAGTAGAATTCTCCAGTATATATACTGGAGTTGAATGCCAGAAAATAGTGTTTCTGGTAAGCTTAATCAGGAAGACTCCAAAGGCTATCATGTTAGGTAATAAGTAGAATTTAGGCTTTGGGCTTCATTTGTAAAAACTAGCATGTAATTTGTGACATTATCCCCAGCTATCTGTTTCAGGTCAATACTGAATTACTATTAAGTGGAGGATTTATAATCCAGCAGAAATTCTAATGAAAGAAAAATTTGATTTTCTTACTAATTTGGGTATTTGCATTTCCTTTAATATT